TTAAACAGTGATGTCACTTCCTTCCTGGCGGTGTTGTCGCTGCTTCACACGTGGCGCCGAGGAGTTCATGAAGGACCAAAACCTCTCAGATCCATGAATTTTTACAGTTTTTAGTGTTTGTTTTCATCATTTTGTAATCATTTCATTCATATAGTTTGTTTTTAAATGAATTACTTTATTTATTTTTTATGTATAAAGTTTTGGAATTTTCACTCCTATTTCTTTCCAAACTGATTTGTTTTGAATGAACAACAATACGTTTGGATAGATAAGTAGGCATATCATATATCATATAGGGATAAATATTGCTTATCCAAGCTTCCATCAGAAGCAGGGTCCACCCTGAACTGGCTGCCAATTCATCACAGAGAGCTCTCACACCTGCGACCAGTGTGGAGGGGAAGCTGGAGAAGCCACCAGACACAGCAAACATGAGGCTGACAGGGGGGTCCAACCTAGAATCTGCTTCATGTTCAGTAGCACCACGGACAGAAAGAAATAATGAATGTGAAAGAAAACGTTCATGTTTTCCTTTATTTGTGATGTTTTCAGTTTTAATCCTCCATAAACGTCCATTCTTCTGGCCTTTTTTCCTCTTAAAATTACACTTATAGTCATTTTTCCTTTTGGAAAAGTCTCAGCATGAGCACAAATTTGCTATTCACAGAAAAGTTTGTAATTAACAGCGATGTGACTGTGCACCGGGTTGGAGGACCAGGAGATCAAACCTGTGCTTTTCTTCAGATGGTCACAGCCGAGGCCAGAACAGGACGCTTCTGTTTCCTTTCGAGGCTTACGCGTCCTTACGTGTATCTCTAATGAGTTTGAAGTGACGTCAGAAAGTAAAGAGGATTGTTTTCCATCCAAACAGTTTAGTATAAACTCTAAAGTGTTAGCTTCATTCTCTGTATTCACTCATCTCCGTTCTTTCCTTTTCATGCTCGGAGGATTCCTCCTCTGAGGCCAAATGTTTCTGTTTTAAGTCTCTCCTCCTCTTATCCACCTTTGTTTATAATTCTTTA